AATAATAAAAATAATCATAAGTTATAAAATTAAAACTGTTTATATTATATTTTATCTTATTTATAACTATTAACAAAATAATTTTACATTTTATTATAATATTTAAATTCTTATTACTTATTCCTATTAAATCTAAATAAAATGCAAAATCTGACTTAAAAGTATTAATATATATATTATTTAATAAAATAAGAAGATAACAAATAAATATTAATTAAAAAAATAATTTAAGTTAGAATTTTACTTTTCAAGTAACTCCTGTAATTTATTAAAATTATAAATAAACTTTTACTTTTTTATAATTTTTCTGTTATAAAGAATTTTAATAATAGATCTTATAATATTAATGAGCTTAAAATTATTATTTATTTTCTTTTTTGTAATATTTATTTTAGTTTTTTTTAAAATTTTTTTATTAGTAAAACTTTTTTTTCTTCTAAGAGAATTTTTAATATATTTCATATAATAAGAATTACAAAACATCATGTCTTTACTCTAATTTTCTCTTATCAAATCTTTAATTTGAATTTCTTTTTGAAGTAATCTTCTTATATTCAAAGTATTTCTTAGCATTTGTCATATTAAATAAAAAACTAACACTTTGAAATTCAGAGAAATTCAATAAATATTATTTTTTACATTATGAAAACTTCAAGTTTACTTAGTAACTTATTGATGCTTAGCTAAAATATAATCAAGTAATACAAGATGTTAGAAGTTCTTTAAAATTATAAAAAAAATTTTTAATAATTGTGTAACGTTAAACGAAGATCTATATAAGGGGCGCTGTTTCTGCTGAAGTGGTTAGTTCGCTATTATATGGAAAAGTTAAAATATCCAGGCGAGTCTGCTATTTTTGTATCTATTCCTATTTTTATTATTCAAAATATAAACTTTTGCCGTTCAGACTATTGGAATCGAAATCCAAATACTTGGAGAACCGTAAACGATTGGGACCTTTTCTGGATTAAGCAACCACAATGTGTGAAAGTTAATAAACGTAATTCTCATTCAGCTTTGGCGAACGATTTAAAATGGCTGAAAAAAATATTCGATATTAAGACTTCTGCTTATAAAATGGCTTGTAACTTGAGTAACGAATTGAAGGGAAGTACTTCTTTTTTTGTGACTTTATAGATTTGACGGTGCTAGCGCACTCAATCTGGCAACCGAGAGTGTTGAGAAGGTTTTTCCCAGAGCGCGCAAAAACCGACAGGTAGCACCACTGCGTGTGCATGGACATAGAAATGTTGGTCGGACGAGCATCCGTAGCACTTTGTGAACTTCCTTTCTATCCAACATCTCAAAAGTGTAAACCTAATTACTTGTATATATAGGCGGGGAACATGCAAAACGACAAAATATGGAAGAAGAAGGATTTAATCACGTCATTAAATCTAGAATCTGACATAACCGATATTGAATTGGAAATTGATAAGGCAGGTATTCATTAATCTTTTTGATGCATCCTAACAGCTTCTTATTCAAT